TCTCCTCCAAGAAAATTCTATCTTCTATATTTCCGTTTTTCTTTTCTCTCTCAGAGTTCGTGACCTGACTCCCTGTGGCCTGTCGGTTCAGTTTCCTTTTGGGTCTGCTTGGTGGGAAAATTATTGCTGGCAATAAGCGGTCTTCACTTGGTATTTTGTGCAGACCTTGTTTTACTAGCTGGTGGATTCTGCAAGACTGCAACACTGAAGGGTAGTGTTGTAAACAGGAGTTCAGTTGACTGAATTATGCAAAGAAATACATAATTCAGATTCAGTGAAAGAAACTGAGACAACCATGAAGTTTATGAAACTGGGATCTCGTCCTGATACCTTCTACAATGCAGAAGCAGTAAGGTGAGACTAAACCAGCAAATTTGGGATTCTCTTCTTAGAAGATGTTTCTCTGAGAAAAGAAATAAGAGTTTCTTTCTCTTTGTATACAGGTCAGTCTCTTCTGAAGTATCCAGCGACCTTGTAATCCAAGTGAAAGGAAGTAGGTATCTTCTTCACAAGGTGTGTTCCCTTGAACTTTTGACTTTAGGATACAGTTGATGATCATCTCAGTTCTTTTTCATTTTTCTTTCCACTTTAATGTATCTCTGAAGTTCTTGCTGATGCTATTCAGTTTCCTCTACTGTCCAAAAGCTTGCGGCTGCAAAGGTTATGCTCAGAATCTCCTGATACTTCTCCGCACCAAATAGTTCAACTCCCTGATTTTCCTGGTGGGGTGGAGGCATTTGAATTGTGTGCTAAGTTCTGCTATGGTATTACCATCACTCTAAGTGCCTACAACATTGTAGCTGCAAGATGTGCTGCAGAATACTTACAGATGACTGAGGATGTGGAGAAGGGAAACTTGATTTACAAGCTTGAGGTTTTCTTCAATTCTTGCGTTCTTCATGGTTGGAAGGACCCAATTGTGGCTCTACAGAGCACCAAAGCCTTGCCTTTGTGGTCAGAAGACTTGGCAATCACAAGCAGATGCATTGAAGCAATTGCCTCAAAGGTCTTAAGTAATCCCTCCAAGGTGATTTTGTCACATAGTCATTCCCGCAGGGTCAGGGACGATGTGTCTTGCAATGGAACCGAAATTCAGAGACTTAATAAATCAGCAAGCAAAGGATGGTGGGCTGAAGACGTAGCAGAATTGAGCATAGACCTCTTCTGGAGAACCATGATAGCAATTAAATCAGGTGGGAAGGTGTCCCCAAATCTCATAGGTGATGTACTTAAAATTTATGCATCTCGATGGCTACCTAATATTTCAAAGAATGGGCACGTCAATAAAAAACAAGCAGCTTCAGATTCTGATCCAGACTCAGCGAGTGAAATAACATCAAAGCATCGTCTGCTTTTGGAATCACTAGTAAGTTTGCTTCCAACAGAGAAAGGTGCTGTTTCTTGTAGTTTCCTTCTTAAACTCTTGAAGGCAGCCAATATTCTCAATGCTTCTTCCTCTTCAAAGATGGAATTAGCTAGACGGGTAGGGCTTCAGTTGGAGGAAGCCACAGTGAACGATCTTTTAATACCCTCAGTATCCTATGATACTGATACCTTGTATGATGTTGAGATGGTGATGACCATATTGGAACAGTTTATGTTACAAGGGCAGAGTCCGCCAACTAGCCCTCCAAGATCCAGGTTTGATATTGAAAGAAGAAGGTCTCGTTCAGCGGAAAATATTGGCTTAGAATTTCAGGAAAGCAGGAGGTCGTCTTCAGCATCTCATAGCTCAAAACTTAAGGTAGCAAAGCTTGTGGATAGGTATCTTCAAGAGGTGGCAAGAGACGTGAATTTACCTTTGTCAAAGTTTATTAAGCTTGCCGAAACAATACCAGACTTTGCAAGGCATGATCATGATGATCTCTACAGAGCCATTGACATCTATTTGAAGGTAAGTATTAAACATATTAAATGTTTTTCTATGTTTTCCATGTCACTACTGCAATTTGTTCTCTGATTAAATGAGTAGTACTGTAACTGAAACTGAGAAGAGAAATATCGTTTGAGCATGTTTCGTTCTCACATTTTAGGATGTGGGACACAATTAGTGGATAACCAACTCTCTTGACTTAAAATCTTGTCTTATTCAACATATACTGACGGTTAGGTTTAGGCTGACCCACCAGAAATTTTGCGTGAATAATTCCACCTTCTGGGCAAATATAAGTTGTACTTTTCATTCGGGCGTTTGTGAATTCACTAAGCTAAAAACAAAGGGGGGAAAAATTGTCAGTGGAAGTTGTTGTCGAGTTACATCATGCAGCTACCAGAATGTCCAGTAGACCGGGAGAAAAGGAAAAGAGAAAACGTGGTCTTTAGTCCTTTACATTATTAATTTGTGTGTCTCCTACTCTCCCTTTTCTTTCCATGATCCATTGACTACTGAAACACTAAAATCACACCTCAGAGTACTCTTCTATGATGTAACATGTCCGGCTGTCAGTTCAGTCAAACTCTTAGAAACTTAGGCCCAGGAAGAAAAATGAGAGAACCAGTACCAAATTAGCATTAATAAAGTTTCTATTTTGTTTGACTGTAATATTCAGGCTCATCCAGAACTCAACAAGGGCGAAAGGAAAAGATTATGCCGAATCCTTGACTGCAAAAAACTGTCCATGGAAGCCTGCATGCATGCAGCCCAGAATGAGCTTCTTCCCCTGAGAGTGGTTGTCCAAGTTCTCTTCTTTGAGCAAGCTCGAGCTGCCGCGGCTGGCGGGAAAGTGACTGACTTGCCAAGCAACATCAAGGCACTTCTTTCTGCACATGGCATTGACTCATCAAAGCATACAGAACCCTTAAGTGCTAATACAAACCTACATGCTGAAGATCAATGGAGTGTTTCTGGCTTCAAGTCACCAAAGTCTAGGACTTCAACTCTCAGGATGAAGCTAGCTGAGGATGATGAATTAGAGGAAAATGAAGGAATTGGAAGAACTTCTAGGTTTAAGGGTTTCTGCGCTCTTCCAGCTCAACCCAGAAGAATACTCAGCAAGTTATGGTCCAACAATAAAAGCTCCCCTGAGAAGAAATGAGGGAAATATGCTAATTTTCAGTTGAGGAATGGTATTTTGGAGGGTACCACAGAACTCTGTTTTCTTTCCTTCGCTAAAATGCCTGGTAACTTTAGGGAGACTAAGGAATATATCTCAATATGCATTGTTGATGTGTAAAGAGGAATATGATTTTCTCATTACAATAAGAAATATGATTTTCTCAACTCCATAGAAAAATCGCTTTGGTAAATCCGATCTGTAAAAAGCCGGTATAGGAAATTTTAGGCGTAAGGGACATATTGTGGGGTCCAGTGCTGCTGTATTTTGTCTACAAATCTGAAACACATGTCTCTGTTCATCGTTGGGTCCTGACTTTGTTGACAAATCTATTCTTGGTATCTCATGTGTCTGACATAGCGTAGTACTGTTGTAATATCAGTTTATATTTGGCTTTTCTGTTTGGATTATTGCACAGATTATCTAATCCTTGTTGAAATGAAATGGAATTGTGGACAAGATTTGAAGGGGGTGTCACATAATTGAGGTTGTACATACATTTATTGTTATGGTCTCTCTTGTTGACAGAGATTTGTCACTAATCAATCATGCTGTGAAGCAATCTGCCATTATTGTTATTGTAATAAGGATGGCGCATTATAGATCATAAAGCCAGCCCAAAACAAGGAATAAAATCCATTGCTGATGAGATATGATTCGCTAATGAGTATTATTGAACCCCTGAGATTTTAAAAACAGATCATGCTTCTTCTATCTTGAGAAATAAAATCATGTGAGCTTTGCAGGGGAGAAAATCCTGTAAAAAAATGTCTCAACAAATTATTATGGCCTCTTCTTTAATTTCTTAAATGTGGGCAGTGGGCTGACTTCTTGATTGAAATAAGAGTTGTTGACAGCTGTCACTACCTTTTTCTTGTATGGTTGTCGAGAAATTATTAAATTCTGAAATTCGATGATTACGAGATAAAATATGACTGTCTTCATTTTGGAGTCTTATAGGGTGTTTGGTTAAGATTAAAACCATGGTTTCAGAAGTGTTTTTATGGTATACGAAATAAATATGTAGAGAAGTTTGTTTCGATTTGTGAAAAAGTGCTTCTAAAAAGTATTTATTGAGTTATCCGAACACCTCCTTAGTTGTGTCTAAAACAACTACCAATTCGAAAAGGAAAAAAAAATAAATGAATTATTCAAATGATGCAACATTTTAATATAAGAGAATTTTAATCTAATATTATTCGATTTTACTGCAATTTAAATTATTTAAATTAACTTTCGTGATACTCCTCCAGTCCTAAATATAATATTTTTATACTAGTGTATATAAGGGTCTTATATTTAAGACTAAAGGAGTATATAAATATAATTTTAAATAGGGCAAAAAACAAAAATTTAAATAGGGTAAAGTAGAATTTAACACCCTAGTGTTACTTCCTAGTTGCATCCAACACTCTACTCTTACCTATAGTGTATCCAACTTACTAATTATAAATAAAATTATGGTGCTGAATGTGATTTTTTTTTTTTGACCTGAGATACTGGATGTACCTGAAGAATAACATTAGAGAGTATGATGCATCAAGAAAATAATATCACAGTGTTAAATGTATTATCAATAAAATTAGAGTGTTGGATTCACCATAGTGTTATATGCTGCTTTATCTTTTTAAATAATACTACCTTCAATTCTTAATATAAAATCTAATAGGGTATTGATTTTGGTTTTAAATATAAGATTTCAATATATTTTGTCTCCTAAATTTGTGATTTATTTTCCAAAATATTCCTATTGATTGTACATGTCAAAAGATTTGCAATCAAGAATAGTTATGATCGAAATGGGTATTTTAAGAAAATCAATTTATATTTATTATAAATAATTATTTAACTAATTTCTTTTACCTTACTCAAATTAATTAAATAGCTATGTATAATCGAAGAGGCAGTAATTAATTTAAAAGGGCGAGAGAGAAAAGACTCAAACTCAATCTTGGAATGCCGAACCAGTAACAAGAAGCCGTACAAAAGAATGAAAAGCTTCAACATGGCGCAAAATGCGTAGGGGAATGATGGAGAGCAGCAGCAAATAATAACCATTGTTGTTGTTGGCCCAAAAAAAAAAAAAACCATTGTTGCTAACAACTTGACTTCATTACTGCAATCATGGCCATTACCAACTGCTCTGAATCTGATATTTTTACTCAATCAAGGTGCCCGCGCATTTCCGCTGCCTAATTTGGTATTTACCTATGTCTCTGATGCATCTCACATGTTCATAATATTAAAACAGGAAGCTTTATTAAAAACTAGTGAATTCAATAATTAATGAAGTAATACTCACAGGAAATATTGTTAGGACGTACAAATCATTTGCAGATATCAAACTGAAAGCTTCAGATTTAAAACCAAAATATCACTCTCTCTCATTTGTATGGAGAAGAATAAACATATCCACATAGGCGTACGTGAATGATCTGTTATCCAGAAAAAGACAAAGTAGCTAAACCAAATGGACTAGAATCAGAAAATGAGTGCCACTGATGAGATTCTCCATTTGGGTTAGAATTCGAAACAGTCCTGAGCCAAATTATAACAAGTCAACACAACAGCAAATTATAAAAAACAAAATAAGTGAAAGTCAAGCAGTGGTAAGTAATTAAAGGAACATTATCTGCTTCCAGATTTTCCATTTTTAATTAGACTCACTTGGATTTTGTTCTTGTTCTTGAAGCAGAGCCGCCCAGTAGGCTCACTGATCTTCATGTGCAATCCAAGTCGACTGGGCAAGTTATTTCACATAATAACACACCAGAACTTACATTTGTCAACATCAGAAACACAAAGAAAATCTGATACCACTACTAATGACTAACAATCGGATAAAGAGAAACTTGAGCAGATCAATGGATCTGATCTTTGGGGATATCAGCCACCGTAGACAGCTGATCAGGGAGGGTCGAAGCTGACTCAATGCTCTTAGTCCTGTTGAGGCTTGTGGTTCGGTGAAGGCGACACCTGAACGAACCAGTGTGCGTGGTGGGAGAACAAAGGCAATTGGTCTTGCTCATACTGGTCTGTCTAGTGAGCCCCCCACCACCACCATGGCCCTGAACAACAACACCTTGTAGCTCCATACCATTTTCGCTCCCACACGGCACTTCAACTTTCATTTCCTTGCTTGTGATGGCTGTCTTGTCACTTTCCATTGGCCTTTCTTTCTTTCTTTTTTCTTCCTCCTTCAATCCTACACCTGAAACCAGACAAATATTAGCTCAAGATTACTGCCTCATATATAGCTATGGCAAATGGCAACTTCCTTTTTACTTCAAGAAGGGTCTCGAAAAATCAGATGGGTAAGGAAAAAGATAGAGAAACGTTAATGGGGATTGCAAAAATCTGGATCACAATGCACTACAACACAAAATCTCTGCTTTTTCTGTTGCTAGTCACGGGTTTTGACATTTGTGAGGATCAAGCTCCTATCAAGGGTGCCAACTACATTTTAGATGGCTTTTGGTGAACACAGTTCAACCACTGGTTGATGATTCATGTCGACAAAGAGCTATTCGCTATCAACTTTAACCTTTGTTCGTTTTGTGGAGTTAGCATGAATCATGATGGGTATGAGCTCTCCATGAAATCAAATAAAAGTCTTTACTTTAGGGACCCCATTACTCAGCCTTGTGATGGCGCACGTTCGAGAGTGGGCGTCTTTTCGTTTAGCTTGTTCTTGTTGACTTATGTGGAATTGATTGGCTATTAATTGAAGTCCCATGTTCTTACTTCTCAGTATTTGAAGTTTGAACATCTTTATGTATTTGATCATTTAGCCAGGATTCAGCTTCGTGTCAATGAGATAAATTTTGAGAACAAAATATTGCTATGATTATGAGCAGTATTATTGACCTTTTTTTTTTTTTAATCAGCTTCGATTTAAAATATAAAGTTGTAATAGCATCTTGTTAATTCAGTGTTGAATCCATAATGTCTAAGGCTGCTGTTCCCATAAGGTCCTTGATTATGCATTGATAGATTGTGAAAATTCATATTAAGCTTCATTCATTGGGCTTGGGCTTTCCATATTAGCGAATAAGATATGGACCACTGATCTGCTTCGTTGAAGCCAATGAAGGTAGCCCATTTAAGCCTAACTTGAATGCCCATATTCTTTTAAAAAAAGCATTATTTTGGTATTACCCCATTCACGATTGCATTATTGTTAAGAAGCCCCAGCTAACTATTTAACTGGATCTCTTGTTGGTCAGTCCACGTCTGCCTCACCAAATGTTAGTATCCATTTAAAAGGAATAAAAATAATTTATTTATGATTTATTCTATTGAGGGAAAATTCTAGAAAATGTGCCTTGAAATTAATATTTTCTAATTTAGGCATCTAACACCTTAAAATGATAAAGAAGAAAGTAAACCCAAATTGAACTTTGAAAATTCAAGAGAAATAATAAAAATACCCTTTTATGGATAACAATTCAACTGTGAATAACAAGTCTTGATTTAGGAGTAATAACACGTTTTTTTCCTGATACATATCATATAAATCAATTAGAATTGGCAACAATTTATCTAAAAATAACGAGTTTTGAATGTAAAATTACGAGTCTCGATCGGGCTTAATAATACATTTTTTCCTAATACATTACATGTTAAGTAACATATAAATCAATTAAAAATGATAATAATTCATTTGAACATAACAAGTCCTGGTTATGAAATTATAATTCTTAATCTGGGATTAATAACACGATTTTTCAATGGGACTAACAAAAAAGCAATTTTGTCATTTCACTTGAATTCAAAATTTTAATTTGACTTTACTTCTTTTTATGTCAATTTGAAATATGATGCGCCTAAATTAAAAAACAGTAATTTTAGGGTTGTTTTTCTGAAATTTTTCCCACTATTAAAATAATTTGAAAGGCAACTTTTTTTTTAACAAAGAAAGAATTTTATTGGAAAAAACTACAACACCGAAGTGGTAAATTTAAACTCTAGTAAACACTGCTACATGAGAGGTCAACAGAACAAAAAATAAATAAATAAAGAAGTGGTAAGGTTTTTTTTTGGGTCCCAAGAAAAAGTTTAATTGAGTCGGTAAGAAAAGAAGTGATAAATTTGAGATTTATTTGTTATTATTAGGTGATAGATATATTCTCTTTCTTTTGTCATTTTATTTTATTTTTTTGTATCTTGTAATTATCCTTTGATAATTATTATGTTTTTATCGTTTTTAAAATATGACTATTAGTTAATATTTTTTTAATTTTATTCTTCACAATAAGCTGTAACTTTTGAGAAATCTGATTAAAAGTTACTATTTAAAAACTCAATTGACTAAAAAAAACTTGAATTTAAGCAAGTATAACTATCATCCGTAAATGCAACTTTTCTTTCATTGTGTACAACATATCATAATATGCAACAATAATACGGAAGTCATTTGCGGAAGTCATTTGCATACGTAAAAAATCCTTATTATAAGAGACAAATAACCGAAGTACGTTGATCAAAAAAACAGTTTAAATTAGTTAAAAACAAAACGCCCTCATTAATAAGGAGAGAGAGCATGAGAGAGAACAATTAAATTATTAAAAGAAAGAGAAGTTGGAGGGAGAGAGTTGAGTTGGAGATAATAATATGGAAAATAGTAAATCAACACAAAAAGTAAGACCTTGTAAGTGTTTCTTATATATAGGAACATGCTATAAGCATCAAATGTCTCTTATAATAAGGAAGGAGGGAGTATTTCACATAAGAAAAATTACACTCATAGATCATAATTGTATACTATCAACTGTCTTTATAACTAATTGAGTTTTCAAATAGAAATTTTTTACCAAAATTTTTCCTAACTTTTTTGTCATATTTCTTTAAAAGTTGCGAGTGTTAGATGGCAATAAAAGTACGCCAATCGTTTAATGTGTTTGAATTGAACTGAGTAAAAGTAAATAAATTATTTCATCATCATCATTAACTTTTTGATAAATTCAGAACATTCTCCTCAATCGAAATATTTGAAACGAGAGTTAAAATTAAATCAGAATAATAATTTTTTAAAATACTAGTAAAAAAAAAGAAGAAAGAAATAGGGAGACGATGAAGATAAAGTTTGGTTCAGGTCAGCGTGTCAACGTTCGAGTTCCAAGGAAAAACCTTCGGTAAAAGAAAACCGACAAGCATATATGGGGAAGTCTCATCCAAAGATATCGCATGCAAATCTCTCTCCAAAGCTTCAGACAAAAGTTGGTTTAGGAGTCAGTTTGGTGCTGTAATTAATTAAAGCCATCAGATCAGACAAGCATGCTTAGTTTATCTCTGCCATTAAAGTATTAAAATATCCAAAAGCGAAGCGACGTAGTACTACTAAGAACCAGCAGGTCACAGAAAAGAGTGAGACATCAGAGCTTAGGATTTGACGATGGCGGCGGCAGAAGGAGAAGGAGGACGAGGCTCCTAAGGGTACTATGTTTTAGATTCCTAGACTTATGTTCCATCCTCACTTCATCAACCAAACATTTTTTATTCCTGTGTTCCATCGCTTTCGTCTTCTTCGTGTGTTTCTAATTTCTTGTTAATGACCTGCGTTTGCTTTACCCAGCCGTCTATTTGCTGGCTCTTCTTTCCCCCCACAAGGAGCCTCATAGATTATTATGCCAACATTATTATGTGTGGTAAAAAAATCTCTACTTTCACTGAAAAGAGAAAACACTATTCAAGCTATTATCCGAGGCATGATAAGGGTTCATGGGAATGTCACTAGATGTCCACATAAAATCCAAGCTTGCATGATTTGGAAAAAAAAAAAAAATTCAGTCCTTGTTTGTATAGCATCTCGTTTTCTCATAATTTGGCAGACAAAGAGAGCATAGGGCATTTTTTTTCCCTTTTATTATAAAATTGAAATTGAAAACCTAATGCACATATACTTATGCACCCCACCCCACCAAGGGTACAAAATTATCAACTTTTGGTATATAATTGTTCAGCCAGAACTGATCATATACATACTACTTATAAACTGTTTTTCGTGCATTGACCGAAAAACAGAAAAAATGGAAATAAAAAATTTTAAAAAATACTTAATTTATCCGATAGGGATTAGCTCCATGGTGTGCACACTGGACTGAGCCCCTATAATGTTGAGTTTTAATTATTTGCTTAATATTAATATCACATTACAAATACTGGATAAGTAATTATTTTAATTTTCTATCATATAGGCATTAGTTACAATTCAATACTAGATTAAAAGATATTTTGGCCCATGAACTAAAACATTATAAGCATGATCATTCTAAATTACTTATTAGAGCAATGTGACCTCTTAAATGTCAAAATTGATGTTGACCAATTAACTCTAGATTGACTTTAAAAGAAAGAGAATTTTCGCCCTTAAAATATTTATAGGAGTAATTCTAACCACGTTGTGGTGGGCGTGATGGTTCGGCATCTCGTCCCTTAAACAAGTGGTTGGGGGTTCGATTCCCAACTCTTGTTAATGGAAAGCACCACGTAGTCAGTCCCTTACCGCTTCGTGCGCCGACCCAGAGACGGGAGATTAGTCTCACTGCTATCAGTGGTGGGGATACCCTGGAGCAATCCGAAAAAAAAAATATTTATAGGAGTAATTCTAGCATCCTTAAGTTTCATAATGTAAAGCACTTGGTGCACTTTCCTTTTTTTCCCTTCATTGAAATACACAGCGTTGTGTAAAAGGTGGTGTCACGTATTTGTCAATTAGAAATTCATCAGCATAAAAAAGTATCAATTGGGACGAAAGATCAATGGGCAATACTGTTACAAGTTATGTATATTTATCTTGACTTGTTAATTAGTTACTTTGGTACAAAAATCTCTCAACTTGCAATAATATAATGGTCAACGTCAAAACATGGTGCACATGATAAGAGAAAGAATTGGATTCTATTTGGCTGTCCAACTTATGAATCCATCAGTGAAAAAACAAAAGAGTTTGTTATTAGCCCACACTAACAGCCAATTAATAACGGCATTGTTTGTCTATTGTAGCTAATTATGGACTGACTACTTTATTTTGGTTGACGAATACCTCTCTTACCTATGACAATATAAACGTGTGGCGATGCCATTTGTTTTATCTTTAGTTGATTATTATCAGTACAAATTGACAAACCATTTTCTTATTGAGGAACACCTGGTTGTCATATGACGCGACATATTTTGGTTTAAAAAAAAAAAAGCTTTCCTATTGGTCCATATTACTGAACTTTAAAGTATCAGTTAATTAGTCTTTCATGAAAACTCAAGGGAGAAAATTCTCTTTAACCTATAAGCCATACGAAGTTAACAATAAATGTTAGTTTTTTAATCTTATTTATAAGTTACTTTCAACATATTTCATCTATATTAAAAAAAATTTTAAGTTTCATTAACTCTTATTTAAAGTTCAACAACTTTTTAACTTTATCCCTATTTAATATACATTATACTTCATGTAA